CCCCCCCCCACTACTCCACTCTCTTCCTCAGGCCCCGATTTCCCCCCCTTTCAGACCTCCCCCGACCACGGCAGTACTAGTTAGTAAGGACAACAATAACTACCGTACGGAGGACTTGCTACTCGGTAGGCCCTTTACAAAGTGCTTTCCACATATTAGGCCATTTATACCACACATCAACCCTTCAGGGTGGGCTTTATTTTACTTCTTTTTACCAACGGGGCTCCTGTCGTTTTACGTGACTTGCCATAAGAGGTCACAGCCAATGAAAGATTCACAGTGTCAGTCCCTGGATTCCGTCCCAAAAGATTCCGTCTTCAGAACCAAGCCGATGTGTCGGGATCCGGGAGGAAGGGTTAAGAGGGAGGCGAGCGGTGGAGAGAAGAGTGGGGGTTCCTCCTCTCCCCCCCTCCCCCCTCCCCAGGAGGCGGCTGAGGCTGAGAGCAGTCTGGGGATGTGGAACAACTTCTGTGCCTGACGCCAGGGGGAGACAGAGGCCGGGCTAAGCTTCCTGCCTGGGAAGGGGACAGTGGTATCAGGGAGTTGTCCCTAGGCCTCTAGGGACACCTACCACCCCACCCAGGGTCCACATGGGGACAAGACCCTTGTGGCCCTCATGCAAGTCAGGGGTAGCCTTCAGGGACCACTAGCACTGAATTCACCGCTGGGACTCCACCTCTAGTCTTTGTGGGCAGTGTGCTTCCTGACCATCACCCTCTCTGTTCAGGGGCTAAACAGTGTCCCCAGAAGGGTGGCTTTCCTGGCAGCTTCCAAATAAAAATCTCATAATGGTCATTTAGGTTTTTAGACTGTCTGTAATTATGCCTACACTCTGGACAGAGAGTGCCAAAGAAAAAGAAGTCACAAGAAGAAAAAAAATCAGTCCAAAAGCATATAGAGTGGCACAGGCCGACATGCAGATAAAGAACATGCTACTGCTATGGGTATTTCCTTTCTGTTTGAGAAAAACTGGAACCAGCGCTCAGATCAATGGCATAAGCAGCAAACCAAAGACTGAAGAAAAAATATAACAGCCTGGCTATTCTTATTATTCAGTGTTTCTGGGACAGNGCTCAGATCAATGGCATAAGCAGCAAACCAAAGACTGAAGAAAAAAATATAACAGCCTGGCTATTCTTATTATTCAGTGTTTCTGGGACAGTTCGCTTACCACTTCTCTGTGTCTCTCAGCTCCCTTGTTCTTGCTCTTTGCAGCACCCAGCAGGGTGTGGCTGCAAGTGGGCCACAGAGCCAGGGCCCAGAGACCTCTAGTTCCAGCACCAGATGGTCAGCAGAGATGTCAACAGCTCTTTTGGGCTCCAGAACAGCCTGCTGACCATACCCAAATCCTAAGGCTGTCTACTCCCTGAATCACCTCCTGCTCTTGGCATCATCACACCTCCTCCATCCTGACTGCCCAGAACCTGGTGAGAAGGCCATCTCCATTCCTCCCTGAGGCCCCAGAAAGTAAGAAAGAAAACGGGCGGGGGGCAGGGATGAGGTGAGAAGAAAAAGACTTGCAAGAAATTCTCCTCAGCTAAGAAATGAGACTTGGTGCCAGGCCTCAGCTAGGGAGGGGACTGGGCATCCTCAAGACAGGCCCCTTTATCCAGGCTACAATGCAGTGGCTCAGAGCTCAGAACTGGGCTTCTCTCCCTTGCCCCTCCCCTTTCTATTACCCCAACCCCAAAGCCCTCTTATCCTAAGAGGACTGTCCCTCTTCCTAAGAGACAAATTTACAGACCATCACCTTCTCCCAAAATTTTACCCTATAAAGAAGTAATTATGCTGCAATTTTTATGATGAAGAAACTGGGCCTCAGAGTTTGGTTCCCAAGTTGAGATTTGCACCCCTCATCCATGGGGACCAGCCTATTGCAGCCCTCCTGCCTGCCCTGCCTCTCCCCTCATACCTCCCCTAGCCCTTCCCACCCCGGAGGACACCACTCCTAGGGTAGAGATCATTTGCTCCTGCGTCCTGGATTTTGACCTTTTAACAGCGGGGGGCTCACAAATCAGTTTAGAAGAGTGTTGTGGAGTAGAATTTTGTGCAACGTTGGGGATAGTCTCTTATCTTCTGTGCCCGATACAGTAGTCTCTAGCGACATGTGGCTACTGAGCACTTGAAATGTGCTGAGGGCGAATGAGAACCTCAATTTTTAAATTTTATTTGACTTCCACATATCGGATATTGGCTGCAATATTAGACAGTGCAGTTCTGGAATCTTCAAGGCTCCAAAGCCCTGAGAGTCTGCGCAACCCCTCCTCATGCTCAGTGCCCCCACCCCCAGAAACCCAATACCTGGAGAGTTTTGAGGGACCCCTCTGAGTGACCCCCCGCCTGCAGAGGGATGATCACCGTTACCAAACCGCTGGGGCCCGAGGTCCTCTCGTCCCTCGTCC